ATTCAAAATCGTATTCACATTTTTTTTATAACAAAATCGGTTCATCATTGATATTTAAAGTCACACCTTATCAAATTATTTAGAATAAAAATTCAAACCAAATTCAAAATCGTTGGCAACTTTTAAAAGGGAAAACCATGTGCAAATTTTCAAAATTTGAATGCACCGATTTTTTTGGATTCTTATGTTTTTTCTTAACTATATTTTAACGCGATTTTGGTAAGTTCATATCAATTTTTTTATCTATAAATAAAGAGGTTGTTGGAAAAATACATTAATAGAAAGTTTGACTAAAAAAAATGTTTGACTTACTATTTGTAGAAATTTAGAAAAAAAACACATTTGAATCTTTAGTAACAAAATCTGAATCCTAATTTTTTTTTTGTAACAAATTTAGAAATTCTTGTATTCTATAACTATTTCGATGTATTTTTATCGATATTCTAAGAAGATTTGAATAATTTATTTACCATTGTTGGATTGAAAATATATAATATGCAAGTGGCATATGTTGTCCAATTTATTTTTGTAAAATTATAGTATTTTTTAATTTAAACTATATAAGAAAGTTATTGTTTACATTAATTATATAAATAAAATAATATATAAAGCTAAATTTTTTATTTTGGTATTTCGTGAATTACGTCTAAATTTTTTAAGATAAGAATTCTATTTATTTTGGAATTGGATCATATAAGAATCTTATTTATTTTGAAGTTGGAGGGGATCGAATCCTATTTATTAAGTATTTTATTTTAAATTATTAAGGAATGTATCCAAACCAAAAGACGAAGCATGTAATGTAATCATGCGAGAGACAACCATTTAGGCTTAACAAATTTTGAAATTATATTAAGAGGGAATTTATAAGTGAACAACATATTTGTATTTTTATTTAACACGTAAATATTATATTTTATTTTCAATTTTTATTTAACACGTAAATATTATATTTTATTTTCAATCAGATGCTGGGCCCTTTTCTTACCGTAAGATTGTAGCGTATTAAGCCCAACTATTATTTAACACGTAAATTATACGCGCGGGCCAGTAAAAAAATAATTTTGATTTAATTTGGTAACTTATCCCACAAAATCTATGTTAATTGAATAAAATATATTATTACTCCTCCATTTAATGTGCCGTATAATTGCAATAAAAATTACAGGATTTTATAATTTTGCTAAAGTTTCTTACTGAAGTGTAAAATTGCAATTAAATAGTTGTTGACTAGTGCCTCATATCTATATATCTATATATATATAAAGAGAAGCAACAAAACATTAAATTATATTATCATGCTTTAAATTTTATTTTCATGCATTAAATTTTATTCTCCCTCCAAAATTTTCAGCATTCAATTTCATTTTTAAGTTATAAAATAACTTGCTTGAATGTTATAAATTATGAGCATAAACCAATCAAGGGAGTTACAAAATTGTACTCAAATTTTAACTCATACTCACTCATGAAAATGGTCGGGTGTATTAGCGTAAAGAAAATGGTTGTAACGGCTCTTCCATAGCAATTACTTGATCAAAATCAATTTTGAGAATTATTTTGTATTGCACTGAGTTGAAATGATAATCGATGTTGTTTTGATTTGAAACAAACATTATAGTCCTGAATGGAAGTCTCAGCAGTTTTGTTGTAACAACCCTTCAGAAAGGGAAAGTGCCTCATGGTGGAGATGGAAGGATGCCCCAGCTTCTTGTGCCAACTGTCAACTGAGAGGTTGCAATGAATCTTGCTGTCATTTGTGTGCTCTTTTTGGAAAATGTATAAGTTCCCTCTCAGCTTGCCTTGACCAAGCAATTGATCATTCCTCTGGTCCTGTAGGAAATAGTGAGAGGCAGTGAAAGTCCATTTCAAATTAGCATGTGTGCATAACTGAGTGACTGAGATCAAGTTGTATTTGAAGGATGGCACAAACAACACCTCATAAAAAACAATGGTATTGCTCAGAACCACCACTCCGTTATGTTCAACCAGTTTAAGTGTGCCATCAGGTAAACAAATATTAACAGGAGTGTTGAGAGTTTGCAGGTTCTTAATCTTGGTAATATCAGAACAGATATGCTTGCTAGCACCAGTATCAATGATCCATTCTCCTAGTAACCCGTCATCTACTGTGGATAAAGCATAATGAAGATCTTCTTCTTATCTTTACCTGCATAGTTGACAAACTGTGCATAATCCAAGCTGTTGTTCACATTCTCTTTTCCTTTGATGTATTGAGTGAGCTCATTCAACTGTTGTAGTATAGAGGTAAGATTAGGAGACTCAACACCTTTGGTGGTTGCATTCTTTCTCTGATCTAACACTTCAGTGCCTGTGTCAACAGTATGAGCATAGGTCCTTCCTTGCTGTTGTTTAAAGTCCTTGTACCATTCAGGTATCCCATGAACTTTGAAGCAGGTGGATATACTATGTCCATGCATTCCACATTTCTCACAAATAAGTTTTGCTTTCTCTTCCTTTGTGAGTCTAGGTCCTCCTTTACCTCTGCCATTGCCCCATTGGCCTCCACCTCGGCCTGGCACAAAGTTACCCCTTCCATAGCCATCCGCCCTTGCTACCAGTACTGCATTATCCAACCTCTCACTGTAAAGGTTGTGGACTGACTTTTGCCTTTCAACAGTGAGAGCCATAGAATAGGCCCTATTGACTGTAGGAAGCAGATCCAACAACATGATCTGATTTTTAAAGTGATCAAAACTGTCATTAAGCCCCATAAGGAATTGAATCAACTTAGTCTCAGCATCATGCTGAGAATTCTGCCTGCCCTTTTCACAGTTGCATACTCCAACAGGTGCAACACAAGCATACTCATCCCATAGCCTTTTAAGTTTGTTAAAATAGTCAACAACAACATCATTTCCTTGAGTGAGACTAGTAATTTCCCTCTGCAGTTTGTATTTCAAAGGACCATTACTTTCTCCATACCTCTGGCATATATCATCCCACAGTTCCTTCGAAGATTCAGCATACATGAAGGTTTCAGCAATATTCTTAGACAGAGAATTCAATATCCACGAAAGCACAGTCCAGTCCACCTTCTTCCATAGAATATACATATCATCATTTTCATTAGGTTTCTCAACTTCGCCATTGATGAAACCAATTTTTGTCTTAGCATTGAGAGCAATTATCATCGACCTCTTCCATGGTAAGAAATTGCTACCAGTCAAAGGATTAGTGACCAAAACCATACCAGGATTATCAGAGGCATGAAGGAATAAAGGATCTTGCTCCTGAAGTCTCGATCCCAAAGCGGTGTTGGTGTTGAGCAGCGGCCAAGCCTCAGTTCTGCGATTTGCCATTGTTGAGCTTACTCGGGGCTCGAAAACTGAAAATCAGGAAAATAGCAAGGCGAGGAGTGTACTGCGGCGAAATTGCGAAATCGTAGCTCAAAGTAGCATAATCTAGCTCTCAGATCCCATAATCGATTTCACCTGATACCATATTGAATGTGGATTTTAGAGAACAAAGTAAATTTCGGAAACTCTTTTTTATTTCAGTCAACTCAAATGAAGAAGAAGTACAGTGATGACCTAATATAGGCCCCATGCACACAGTACACATGCAGATTAGGAACGACACCGTTTTATGTGAAATAAAACGATAGTCACTAATAAACTCGCCAACACGTTTTAACTAAAGCTAATAAAACAGAAAAAAACAAAAAAGAAAAATACCAACAACCACACTTCGCAAAATATGCTCACACACATACAGCTGCAACAACACACACACACACACCATTCCAACAATCTTAAAAATGGACTTTTCATTAAGTGCATTTACAAAAGTCCTTACACAACTTTTACATATGTTTGGTGAATTTCATTTTAAATAAGTGCTTTAGTTACTAAATAATAGTATTTTTTACTCGTAAAATTTTCCTACCCACTACATATGATATAATATTATGTTCTGGTGATCTTAGACATATATATTATCTATGAACCATTTAAATATATTGATAATTAAGTTTTTCATCTTTATTTTACCTTTATCAAAATGATATTCAAAAAATATTTTTTATATCATTATTTAACCATATAATATTATATGATTATTGATTTAAAACAAACAAAATTATGCAAACTATTGAAGCTATGACATATCTTTAGATTTGTTCACGTTTGAAGTATATTTAACTGAAGAAGATAAATAAAATACGGTTCTTTATAATTGGAATAAGGAAATGAAAAAATTTGGAGGAAGGCGGAAAAAAAAATGCGAGAATAATTGTGAAATAGGTTTCAGAAGTAGCTAATTCTCACTTCTCCAAAATGGACTTACTAGGAAGTGACTTTTCTCAAAAGTGCATTCAATATAAATCACCAAACACCTTAAAATCATTCAGATGGGCTTTTAAGTCTAGAAACCCATTTCAAAAGTGTTTCCAAACGCATACGAAAATTTTTGGAGAAGTCCATTTTGCACAAGTCCTCTAATTCACATTTAAACTTTTAATTTGATACCAAATGATAGCTGAAATAAGGCCATAATTATTGTTTTAATTCAATTCTCTATTGAATCAGTTGTCTTTTTTTTTAACGGATAGAAGTTGAATCAGTTGTCTAGTTAAGTGTTTTTTTTTTTTTTAATTTAATTTTTTCTGCAATCAAAAGCTTAAAGCCAGCAATGTTTCAAGAGGTTGGATAGACAAAGGGAGAATGGAAGCAATAATTTTTAATCACAATTTATTCTTCATTTCTATTTTCTACCAATCCCTTAAAAAATACTATAGTTGAAAACCTGATTTACTGATTGTAAATAAAATAATAATTACAAATTCAACCTAAATTCAAATATTTTTTTACAATTAAATACACAATTTTAATATAAACACGATAAATTGATAATTATGGGATCAAAAACCATGAAATAGCAAAATCTGGCGGCATTTGACACGTGTTGGTCATCGGGTATCATCTCTCCTGCTTGCAGTAGATCGACGGCCCACAAACACTTGTCCCTGTGACAAGCACCAAAGCTTCTTTAAAACCCCATTTTCCGTCTTTATTATAACTTCAATCCCTTTCTCTGTCTGGTTTTTCATAATCTCACGCCACCTTCACCTTGCAACCACACGCCCATCGCTGTGAGCAAATCTACTGTTTAATCTACGCGTTTAATCGTTTTTGTTTTTCCAGTGATTACTTGATTAGCCGAAGATGAATTTTGCGTTGTCTATCAGATAAATTTCAACTACTTTGTTTCTGAATTTATTGAAGCATGTGTATATATATACGGACTGTGTAATATCTATGATCTTGTGTGGCTAAGCATATTGATGTTTCATTTGAAGTGTTGCCTTTCCATGTTGATTTTTGTTCTAATTGTGATTGTATGCTTATGGACAGGCTTGATTTTAGTTTAATATTGATTTGGATGTATGGATTGTTGGACATGTGTTGAAGAAACCGTAGTTTACTTTATTTTGCTTTTCCATGTTGATTTTTTTTTGTTCGTGGAATTTATGTCTCTCTGAGTACCAAGTCTATGATTAAAAGCAGTGAATTGAGTAATTGGCGGTGTCCTTTTGTATTGGTACTAAACACATACTCATTAGTTTTTGTGATATTAACGAATAACAGACAATTGCACGCCTGTAGTTGTGCATACAACATGATAACTAGAGGGGATGAGTGATATGTATATAGATACAAGCACGTTTTCTCTTGGTTGCAAATTATTAGGTGTGTGGACTTTTCTTTTAAAGTTTAATATCATCAGTATTGCTTCAGACCACGTGCCGAATATTCATTGAGCATATCTGCAGTTTCCATACACTAAAGAGTTTTTATATGTATGCGGTGGTTATGTATTCTACGGTTTCATACATAATTTGTTCATGATTTTTCAGATATTATTAGTTTTGAAGCTTCAAGTATTTGTATCATTTAAGGTAAATTTGCACAATTATTCTTTAATGTTTCTGACATATTTATGACTAAAATTTTATGTTGACAGATGTCAGAGAGTAATGGAGAATCGGAAATCGGTAATAAAGGAAAGGAATGGGAAGTTGTCACACTCACTGAATCCATATATGCTGCTGCCCCTGCTTCCAAGCAGGATAACATCCTTCATCAAGTTCAAACTGATTTAATCAGCGTTTTGAGTCCCGAGACTGCTCATGCAATGATTATGTCCGGTCACTTTGGATATTCATCGACTATGCATGAGAACTCTCTCCCAAAACCCAATCTCGATGAAGGCAATAAACCGGAATCCAAGCATGAAGAAAATTTCAATTTGAAAGACCCAATATCTGATGAATATGGTGAATTTAGAAAATACGATGATGAAAAAGGCGATAGCATGTCGTTCTATAGTGCTGGGAAGTTTGATCCTTATGATGATGATGAAGCTAATGTTGATGCCCACGAACCAGTTGAATCTGTTGACCCTGCTGTGAATCCAGACATGTTGAACTTCGAGGAAGATAAATCTAGTGAACTGCCTAATATTCCCTGCGAGGCTTGGTGGAGAAATTGTGCTGATACATTGTGTGGTCGTGCGAAAAGTGTGAATCCATATTGGTCAATTGCTATTGCTGCTGCTGTTGTGGGAATTGTGATTATCAGTAACAGGTGGCAGCGGGATAACAGACCTCACGTCTTTCAACTTAAGTCACTGTTGGCTGTTGATAATGAGGTATTTCGAGTATTTTAATGATGCAGTTACTTTGGGATTATATTTCGAGTATTTGAATGAGAGTAGTGTTTTGGAATGACAACTTATGCTTCCAGTTCTGAGAAACAAGCAATCGTTTTTGCAAGTGATTTATCGAACATTGTCAATTAATCAAGCCTTTTAGCTTCCATTTGCAAAAAAACTTCTAATTAGTAACGTTTGCAGCAAACATTACGTGAGATTTTGCTATATTTTTCTATGTTTCTCTCTTCTTTTTTTTTTTTTTTCTTTTNGATTTGGAAATATGGTTCCGGTAATAGCAAAAATGACACTTGCCATTTTCCATTTTCATCATGTACTTATCCATACAGTTGTGATGTGAAAAACATATATTTTTTGTTATTGCAGGGGACGAGTGGTTGGATTCTTGGTCCTATGGCAACACATAAAGGCGCCTCTCTGAGTGCTCGACACATTTCTTACATGTGAATGAGCTGCTCGATTGGACTTTGATGTTGGTGGAAAGGGCGTGTTATTCCATGTTTGGTTGGCGTGCGAGTTTTTCTTATTCTCTCACTGAATATTGTGGAATTCGTGCTCTTTTCTTGATTTTACTGTGCCGTGTGGTCTTGTAGGGGAAATTGCTTGATGTAAATAAACACTAGAAGTAGATATTCAGTGTGGTGGTTCTTGTGTATAAGTAGATCGATGTTATGGCAGTATGAGAAACAAGTTTCATGGTTATGTAAAGATTTGCAAGGTTTGCTATATCAAATTCTCTTGCAAAAGTTCATAATTTGTTTTTCTGATGTTGGCTTTAGTTACCAACATCGACACATTGGATGGTCTTTTGTGGGCAAATTTGATTTGTACTGTATCTTTTTACCGTTGGATCGATTTTTCTCTTTCTGTGTTCGTGTCAAATAGAGGCCTTTAATTGGTTTTCGTTCATCAAGATTAAACATCAACATGGCATCCAAAGAACCATTGAAAGGCCAATTTGCATTTCAACTTATAGATGTTTACCAAATCAATGCATGTTGAAGTTTGTAGGTCAAATTTCTAAAGTGATCGAATTAAAAAAATAATTAGTTCAAAATTGATAACCTTTTTATTTTAAGAAATAGATAATTGTGTTTAGTACTGTAAACTAAGTATGTGTTTGATAATCACAATAAGCTAGTTTAGAACATTTACAATGCTTTGGATTCATTAATAACAAATTACATGCCACATAGAAAATATACTTAACCTAAAGAAATATACCTTTGGATTCATTAAAAACGAATTACATGCCACATAGAAAATATACCTAACCTAAAGAAATATACAAGAACAAGTGGATTGAAAAAATAAATAAATAAAAAATTAAGAAAAGCAGATCCGCTTTTTTTTCTCTGTATTGTTCACCAGATCCTTTTTCCTCTTCGTTCTTCTACCATTGATTCAACACTCCCTCTACCCCCCTAGGCGGAGCTCTATGAGTTGCTCGTGGGCGGCGGCCATCGGCTGTGCGGCCCGTTTTCATGGAGAATCGCCGGTGGGATATTGATTGGTCGGAAAAAGTGTGTATATTATATATTTATTAGCATATTTTTATATGCTTAATTTTGTCGCACTTATGTCTTTCGACTTATTTATTTGTTAAATGGATTCTTGTACTTTGATATTTTTATGGTTTATTTTTAGGATATTGGAGTGTTTTCGGCGACGACGTGACATTGGAAGAAATTTCATCCGGAGCAGTACGGGGGCGCCCCGTACTGACCTAGAAGTACTCCATACCAGCCCAATATTTGGACCCATTTATACCATGTACGAAATTGGACCCAGCACTTGTGATAATAGAAGTCTTATTGGGCTAGAGATTAATTAAATAAGTGCTGCCACTCAATTGAGTTATCCCAACAGCATAATATGTGGCACAGTGAGATGAATAGGAAAATTACTTTGGCAGAGATACACGCAACCACTTTTTGGAGGAAAGGAATTATTTGGAAAGAAAATAATACACACATTTATCCTTGATCATATAGCTAGCCACAAAAGCAAGAAAGATACGCAGCCTACACGATATTATTCACGCACAGAAAGCGAGAGCCGCAACAGAGCAGGAAAATTATTTTACGCAAGACAGAGGACGAACGCGAGGAACCCGATCAGTCGCGGAGGGAGGCCGCACCCGTACACGAGGAGGATAACTATATTCTTCTCCTTTTATTTTTATTTATTATGTTAGAGTAGTTTTTATTTCTAGTTCCGGGGATGTCGAACCTTACGACTTGATGATGTTTGATTGATTTTCGTGGTCGATTATTGAGTTATCTTTTTGGAATTGTTTGTGTTATTTTAAATAACTAACCATGATGTGTTGAGTCTTATTTAGATTGATCACCTAGATTAGGCTTTTCATATCTACATCTGAATTAGACCTTCAATCCGTAATTGTTGATGTGTTTAATTCGTAAGAGGTAACCGGAAGACGGTGATTACCGGGGATAACACGGTCTATTTAAGTGAACGAACGCGGTTGAGTTCACTACTTAGTCTAGCCTATTTTTCTAATTCGTAAAGCGGTTGATTGTATTAAATCTTGAAAACGTTTTTCTAGACTGTACAAGAAGTCAGGTTTAATCATAGAGCGTCTCGCGGTTAAATTAAAATTAAAGAAAAATTCAGGTAACAGACAGTGTCGTTGCCCAGGGCTAGTAATTTCATAAGGTAACGAGATTTGATATCAAAGTTGATTAGACGAGTCGGTCGAGGGTGTAGACGGAACCGTGAACTAGAAAGTTCTCTTCATTTATTTATTTTTATTTTTATTTTCATTGTTTAGATATTATTTGTTTTATTAGGATTTTAGTTAATTTAGTTATTAAATCATATTCTCCCCCCACTTTATCGCTTTCATACATTCAATTAATACAAGAAATTCACGATTTGATTCACACTCCTCGTGGGATCGACCCTTACTTGCCGCTACTACTAGTTAGTAGAGGTTAGCTGAAGAAAAATATAAATTTTAATTTTGCCGCGTTGCGACGCGCGGTCAGATGTGCAGTTACTTCACAGGCGAAGGCGAAGCCGGCCCCTAAGTAGGTGTTCGCCGTGGTCTTCGGGTGCTACGATGGGGTTGCAGGTGGCAATTTTCCTGGTGTTCTTCCGCTGTGACGAGTCCCGGCGTTTTTCTCCTTTTTTGGGGGTATTCGGGGGAGATTCCGGCTAATTCTACCGTGCTGCTCTTCTTTTCACGGTGTTGGATGGAAGGATTGGCAGCTGAGGCCAGACCGAGGTTCGGGTTTTTGAGCTTCAGGCTTGTTTTTATTTGGTGTCAAGTGTGGGTGGTTGAGGTGTGGGTCTCCGGGCTAGGGCTGGGGCGTCCGTCCGGATTTGGGTTGGGGCCATTAGTGTCGGACTTAGTCAGACGTTCTTTTGCAGTTTTCGGGTCATACTCTGGGGCTGTGGCTCGGTCGTTTGGATGGAGGTCCGTTTAGCGTTGCTGTTGCGTGGCTTGGTGTAGTTTTTCTGCCGCGGGAAGGATTGTTTAGTTTTGTTTAGTTTTGCTCTTTTGTAGTTGTTTTAGCTTGTTGGCTAGTGTCTGCGTGTTTTAGTACGGTTCGTCTGCGTTTTCCCTCTTTCTCTTCCGTTGGGAGTGTGTTTGGTGTATTCTCCTAGGGGGAGCTTTTGGTTTCTTATTCTTTTAGGAGTTTTTTAGTTTTGTTGTGTGTTGTAGGTGGATTAGGCTGCCGTCCGTGTGTACGTGTAGTCCTCTCTACAAGAGTCAGATGTTCAACTTATTCGGTCGTTGGTTGTGTTGATAAACGGATTTAATCAACGTGATTAAGGTAAAAATCACAATAAAGATTGCAGAAAATGAGATTTTTATTGAAAATCTTAAAGTCGGTTACAGAATTGGGAAGTCGGTTTTTCCGTGTACACCAGGTCGGTAACAGAGAAAACAGAGATAAATATGTGTGTTTTCCTAACTTTTGCCGAATCCTCGTATCATCTTCAATGTTGCTATTTATAGTTATGCTCGGCACACATCCCTAGACAAATCAGCTTCGTTTTAATGAAGATTTGACAGTTTAGGGGCGGCAATGACGTAGGCAAGCTTTTTAGGTAATGATGAGCATGGGCGCTCCTCTATCTGTGTGACAAGCATCAAATCTGTCGGGTTGAAGTCGGTGTCATTTCGCGACGTCGGCATTTCGGTAGAGTTTTAGTCTTCCACGACTTTCTGGTAAGCTGCTCTTTAACCGAGGTGACCATTTCGAGGTTTTAACATTTATTCTGACGACCTTTGGGATCTACTGTTTTTCTTCAGAACGTCGTATGAGGACCGAGGTGATATTTTCGAGGTCCCAGCTATTTCGTTTTGTATCGTCAAAGACCCGGTTCGTGGTTTGGACTTTATGAAACCTTTAATCTATCATTTATCTCAAGATATTTAATCTTGATATCAACAGGTTGTTTATTTGGCTGAATAGCTGCTTGCTTGTCTCGGTTTGTTGTGAACATATGTATTTTCTATCGTTCCGCTAAAAAAAAAGAACAGGTGGATTGAGTCCTGCTAATGTGGCCACAAGAAAAAAAAAAAAACTGATCTACCCTTAAGTCTATTTTCGACACATGTAGAGACCCGATCTCTTTTAATTGGAGTGAATTGTGTTACGTTTATATAATTTTATCCATGTCATCCAAATCTCGAGTCTATTTACATGTTAATTAAGCAAAATTAGACCTAAAGTATTGTGGATGGTCTTATAGCTTATTTGGTTAGTTTGTAAGTTTTTTATATACAAATAAATTTTATTTGGTAGGGCACCCTTTTCTTAAAAGCTTGAGCTTATATCATAAGCTTATTTGGGTAAATTTTCAAATAAGCTCATTAATTTTACCAAACACTTTTATCATATGAGTTAGTTTTTAAGATGTAAGCTATTAGGTATAATCTCTAAATTCATTCTATCACCTAATTATTAATTATCAACTTGCTTATAAGCTAACTAGTACTAATCTCGTGCGATGCACGGTAAGAGATACTCATTAATATTTATAAATTAAAATTTTTATTAAATAATATTTATAAATTAAAATATTAATTTTCAATAGTATTTATAAATTAAAAGTCCTCATTAAATATTATTTATAAATTAAAATAGAGAATCAATATATAATACAATTTACCTATATTAATTTATCAAAAATATTATATAAAATTTAAATTTTACAAAATTACATAATACATATCTATTTAAAATTAGTACACAACATGTATGGTGCACGTAACTGATAATAAATTTTACATTATATTCATTTAAAATTAGTACACAACATGTATGGTGCACGTAACTGATAATAAATTTTACATTATATTCATTTAAAATTAGTACACGACATGTACGACTCCTATAAGAGTGTATTTTTAAACTAATATGATGTTTGAAGAAAAGAAAAAAATAAAAATGATAGCATTTATTGGGATGGATGTTGTTTTTTCACGTTTCTATTGCCAAAATTATATTTTTTCAAAATTCAAAACAAAAAATGTAGATAATGTGACCACGTATTTATCAAATTTAGCATTTCAAATCATATGAACTCAAAAAGTTTAGATTCAGCTGGATTTGTAATTAAGAAAACAAAAATTCAATTAAGAAAATAATTGATGAAATAAATATAGTTTTGCATGGATATTAGATCCAAACAATCTTAAGGATAAGATCACATTTCACAAAATATCAAAGTCAATTTAAACGTAAAAGATTTATTTAATTTGAATTTGAATTTTATAGAAAGATTATTGATTTAAAATCTCATTATGGAAATAACAACATGAAATTGCACCCAATCAAACATAAGAAAAAAATAATTCCCAACATGAAATTGCACCCAATCACAAGCTAAATCTTATTTCTGAAATGATTAGGCAAAAACAATTGTGCACAACGAAATGGGGGGAAAATGACACCATGTGAAGTGGAAAAGAATAGGAGCCCACATTCAGTATTTTAGCCAGGTGTTCAAATTCATACAAAAGTTCACGAGAGAAAAAGTTGCAAGAAGTATTGCCACAGGATATGCAGTCAAACACAATTATTGTTCTGTTGTGCAAATTATGAGAATGCCAAGATATGTTGGCCAAAAATCCAATATATTATCTTCTATCTTTAGGGGACAACTTAAAATAGAAAACAAATGAAGGGAAAACAACAATCAAAATCTTGGGACAGAAGAAAATTGTATACCTGATGACCCTGACAAATGAGGTCTAGATCATTATATTCCAAGAACTCGACAACCTCATTGGGCGAAAAAATATATCAGATGCCCTTATCACTATCAGCTCAGCCCATTGCCCTAGGATCAGGGTCAGACCGAAACAGATCACACATGAGATCATTATACGGTATGCCAGTGGGCCTTGGGAGCTCAGTTATCTAATCCAAGTGATCCAGCTCCGGAGAAACAGTTTAAGAAGTCGGTGAAGGCTTTCCAAAGTCGAACATTGAATCTCCTCGTACATTTGTCATAGAATCCACATATACAGTTGATTTGGCTTCTTCATGGTTTCCCCTCAAGAGGAATATCTTTTCAGGATACCTTAACTTGTAAGCCAATAGTAAGCATATTGTTTCGATACTCTGCTTTCCTCTATCAGCATAATTTGCATCAAGAGCGTGCCCACATACTCAGAAATCCTCAATAGGTCATGATATTGTCCATGCATGTCACCTGTGGCAGAAATATGAGAGGCATCAAATAATCTGTGAACATCTGTGTTAGCTAAGCAAGCTTTAAATAAAGGTTTCTTGTCTCTTTTTGCACCAGAAGTAATTGAAAGATGTTCATATAGATTAAATTTAAATGCATGATTGATTGCCTTACTCTTGAAACAGAACACCTAACCACAAAAGAAGCATAAGGGAACAAACAAAATCCATCCAGTCAAAATGCTAAGAGTTGTCTATTTGGATGAGTGACTGATGATCGTGTACCAAGCCAGATATTTTACTCACAGTTGTATAAGAACTCATAAGGATTCGGATATTCAAACGTCTACGTCTAATAGTGCTGCCACAAGAAAATACCGAGACAAACTTCTAAGAATCGAATATACAAACTTCTAATAATGATGCCACAAGATAATACCGAGACAAAACATGTATGTCACTATTCTAAACTTTCACCAATTGCTACATGTTAATAAAAGGACTTGAGCAGTGAAATCATACAGAATCCCCTCTATCATATTATAATGATATAATATTACTAATATTGCAGTGTTTTTAAACAAAACCACCTAATTGAATTCATGTCAGCAAAACCAGCAGAATATGTGAAAATCATTGATATTAACCTCACAATCACGAAGCCATGATTAATTTTATTCGTGGCAATATCTCAGTGAATAACCCACATGAATCGAATTTTTTAATGAACAATTGCGAGCAAATTTGTTTGGATATGAAACCATTTATCTTGCCAGTATGAATACACGATTTATGAATAAAATCAACTCAACTAAAACTTGATCAGATTACACAAAAACAACCCACAAATCCCACCTCATAATTATGCACAACCAATATCACATTTTTCCGCTACAACAGGTGAAATTCATCATCCCAAAATCAAACACATTTTTCGNTAACAATAACAATAACAATAACAATAACAATAACAATAACAATAATAATAATAATAATAATAATACACATACAGCAGATCCTGATTGGGGAGCGAACGTGGAGGAGATTGGGCTGGGAGAGAAAAGTCTGGTGAGCATCGAAGCCAATGTGGTGGATCTTCGCCTCCGACAACTGAACCGTTCCTCCTGACGGGTCCAAGCAGCCCACTGCCTCGGTTGTTTCTTTTCTATTGCATTTTAAGACATAAGATAAGCAAAGTTTTTTGTTTTTTGTTCAAGAGAATGAAAACTAAATTACTCATCAACAAAAAAAATTTATAAAAAAAAACAATAAAATTACCTTGACGAAGTGGCAGCATTTCATCATCTGTCGGAAGTCGCCGAGTCGCCACCTAAGTCGACCCTGACGATCATACTCCGGTACTCCTCCGGCGTCTTCACCCACTTCATCCCCAGCGCCGCCAGCACCGACCTCCGCTCATCCGCCGTAATGAACCCGCTCCTCCCCAATCGAAAATCCTAAATGCCTCCCCCACGTCCTCTTCACCTCCGTCTTCCAATGCCGCCGCGTACAGGGCGCCGAACTCCTCGGCGTCCACCTAGGCGTCCCCGTCTATGTCAATCTTTCTGATCATCGTCCGCAGCTTCTCCTTCAACACGCAAATCCCGAAAGCTCCTCCCCGCCATCGCCGTTCACAGAGCATGGAGAAGACCCAATGGAGCTCCACCGTGCGCATCTCCTCATGTCGATCCCTAATAGAAATGGTTTGGATTGGATTTTGGGGGATTAGTTTGGGTATGATTTGTTTGGATCTGATTGTGAGAGAGACGGCGAAAGAATTGATTTTGGTTGGAAATAAATTTGGAGTCGAGCTTTTTAAGTGATAATTTTCACCCAATAATTTTGGGAGATATTTTTCATAATTGATATACCGAAATAAATTTGGAGTCAATCATTTTATTAAACAGAATAAATTTTTGACTAAATCATTCCAATATTTGGAATGTTGCGGCTGTATCTAATAAGATAATATATTTTTATTTATATTGAAAATCATAATTAAAATTTGTTCCATAATTAATGAAATTTACCATAAAATTAATTCAAAACAATTTTAAAATTCCAAATGAATGATGATTTTTGAAAAATTTTGAAAAAATTTACCATGATTATATATTTGATAAAATCTATAATAATATAAAAAGATTTGGCATTTACATGAAATAGCAATTAAAACCCCGCCTAAAAATTTAAACTTACTAATCTTGATAAATTTTTTCAAAATGTTTCAAATATAAGTTTAATGAAATTCCAAATAAAATAAGTTTAACTTATTTTTCCTGGTTTTGTTTTATTTTGAGTGCTGACGGTTAAAAAATAAAGAAAAGAATTTCTCAAATACGGTCGTCAATGGATTTGGCGGGAAAATGAAACCCTAATCAGCCCTGCATTTGTCGATCGACTTTTACAGTTATTCTGCCAACGTCAACGGCGGCCAGCGGCGACAAGGACGACAACTGCCACCACTCACCCACGCACAGTCCATCGACGCCTCCACATTGATTCTACCATTGCCAGGAGCTCAAGATTTCTGCTCGTTGCGATAGAGATGGATAGAGACGAAAGCCCACAGATCAAACGGAGATCCACGAGGTCGTCCTCTTGCACCTCCCCGACGAAGGTTTCCAAGGCCGCCGCCAAGGATCCGCCGTCGCCGTCCATCAACGACCTTGTTTTCCCCGGCGAGTTCGTAAGCCTTGAGGATGTAATCAGCTCCTTCCCCGGTAGGCGTAAGCAAATCCATGAGCTGATCAGGTGTTTAGGTCCTTTGAATTCCCCCATGCTCCCGTTGTTTGTCTATGGAGGTGCTTCGACCGGGAAAACGAGCATCGTGCTCAGTACATTCAAGCACCTGAAGCGCCCGTTCGTGTACTGTAGCTGCATAACCTGCTACAGTCCGAGAATACTGTTTGAGTCCTTGTTGAATCAGCTTTTGCTTCACGTGAAGAACGAGAGCAACGGTTATTCTAGTGCCAAGAGATGTGAAAAGCCATCCGATTTCGTGAATTTACTGCGCGAAGCTTTGGGTACTCTTTTGGACAGCCTGAAGGGGAATAAAGGGAAATCTGGGTCTAAGAAATCATCCTCAATGGTTAATGGAAGTATGGTTTACTTGATATTCGATAATATAGAAGTTGTCAGGGAATGGGACAAGAGTTTTAGTATGAATACTCTTTTGTTTAATCTGTACGGCATGCTGAAAATGCCAGAGGTTGGGCTGATCTTCATTGGTAGAACTTCCCTCGACACATTTCCGTCGGACACGGGTTTTGCTGAGCCGTTTCCCGTCTATTTTCCCGAGTACACGGAAGATGATTTGCGCCAAATATTCATGAAAAACCAGGCAAATCCCAAGTTATATTCATCTTTTCTGGAGTAAGTATCGTGTTTAGTTTATAGTGGCTTTCAGTGTAGTTCATTTATGTTGTATTGTTCGTAAAAGAATGTCTTTTCATAACTTGTGTACTTTGTTTTTTTTTTTTCTGTTGTGCAGTTTGGTGTTGAGGCCTTTCTACAGGATTAGGAGACGGGTTGACGAACTACGTACTGCCTTTTCACCTCTATTTAAGAAGTATTGTGAACCTCTTGAGGATTTGGGAGCTGTTCCGAACGAGGACATGAAGAGAAAATTATTCAGTCATATCCAACCATTTATTTCAATGTCCCTGAACGAGACTTTTAGTGTTTCTTCTCAGCCTTTACTAAAAGACTTGGGAAGCAAAGAAAAGAACCTGAAGAAGAGCGTTACTAGGAAACTGGGAGTTTGTGAAGCTTTAAATGAGATGGATTTTCATATGGCAACTTCTGCAAAATATCTACTAATTTCTGCATTTCTTGCTTCAAGAAATCCTGCAACACTTGATGCATCACTCTTCGATTCAACTGGAGGATTGGATAACCGAAAAAGAAAGAGAAAGTAGGTTATATGTCATCTGATACATGTTTTAGATTGTACCTATATATTCATTTCGTTTCCATTGAAATTCTCTCGTTTTAGTTATGTTAAAAGATAAATCATGTTTAAGCTATGCGGGTGGGCACAATACTTTTTGTTTTTTATTTTTTTTGACATTAGCAACTCTTTCTTGTAGTGCTTAACTAAAATCATATCGAGCCATTGAGTCAGTTATTTACTACACTAGTTATGTCTCCATCTGATCGTTAAAAGCCCAAAACTAGGAATAATAATTTTTTTCTGTCTTGTGTCTGTATTCAGGAGTTCTGAAAAGTCAGTGGAGCAAAAGGAAATTAAAGAACAAGAGCAACTCATGAAAGGACCCGGAACATTCCCACTCGAAAGGTTGTTAGCCATATTTCAGTGCATCACATCCGTTGCTGAATGTTCAGCTGAAGGTGAAGATCTAGAAAGTGGTGGTTTTGGAGCCGATGACTCTAACAGTGGATTAATGTCCGATATTCTCTTGCAACTGTCAAGTCTATGCAGTGCGAATTTTATCACCAAAGGAGGGAGCTGCCCACTTGAGGGTTCGACACGGTACCGATCCACAGTATCCGAAGATATGGCTTTAAAGGTATTTGCCAAATCATGCATATTTAAAATTATGGATTATTCAAAATCCGGCTGAAGTTTAGCGTAGTTACAAAAATACTTGGTTTTTCTAATAAATACCTAACTGATACTTGTTTCTACACATTGCATTGTCGAGAGGAAGATCTTTTATATGTAAATGCAAACCAGACTATTTCCGAATTCGGAAGATAAATGGACATAGTGTAAATAGATTAGACCTCGAGACTAAGTTTGGTAATTTCATTAATTTGTTCTTAGTTATTCTTAGTTAATGCAGTCATAAGATGTATTTCAAATGGCTTACAGGTTGCAAGGAGCCTGAAGTTCCCCTTATCAAAGTACTTGTATAGAAGATAATAGTATCGTTCAAGTAGATGGAACTTGTGTGCCCTTTCAAAGGATGTTAAAATTATAGGGTGTTTAGAGCAAGAACTGATTGGCTTCATTTACAAGTACCCTTATGCTGTGCCTCCAGTGCCCCTGTCATCTCATCCCCGATGTGGTGGAATGATATACTGATATTACCATGTCTTCTACTTGTTTATGGACCGACTTGCGAATATTTCTTAATCATAAATTTATTTCAGTCGTGAAATTTTTGTTCACTCAATTTAGCACATGCAAGTTAGCGAGTTGAAATTGTGTGATATGCTAGTGCAAGTAGAGATGCTTCGTGTGTGGTAAGATGGTAAGAAGCGATATTTGCCACAAACATATGTTTATTGCTCAAGTTGATTTTTCATCGAACTGGTGAAATTCATGACATCCATGGGAAAAATTTTGGGAAAGTATAGTGACATAAGTTGTTTCCAACTGTGGGAAAAAAAGTGGGAAAGTATGATGTCATAAGTTGTTTTCAACTAACTGTAGCCTAAGTGCACATTGAGTCACTATGATTCCAGATTGTTATCCTATTTGATCATCTTACTTGTGCATCCTATTATGTCTCGTGGATTTACTATACTTTCTCTTCACTACTTCTCACGAAAGCCGCTATTAGTCAGAGGATAACAGTTGAAACTAGTTAGGTGAGTCGATTTTGACTTAGTAGTCATGTTTCTTAGCAATAATTTATACATTCACGGTGAAACGTTTTGATGAAAAAAATATGTTTCTCTGTGTATCGATCTTTTGGCATTTTTCTTTTTCTTTTCTGTGTGTGTGTCTGAAGGTAATAAAATTCAGTTCAAGTATTATCAGAAAATGAATGCAGGTTTACGGTAGATTTCACCCTACCGTTGACTACAGTGCAGTCACCGGGTTTTTCACGTGTTTGTTGATCCGATGGTGAAAAAGGGTTGAATCCTCAGCAGGTTAACATCTTAGAATCAGGGAGTTGTTTTAATATGATACTACTAATAGTCCACAGATTGGCATGAGAAAAAAAGGGGCTCAAATTCCAAAATCAGGTAAGATTTGTTGAACCCGAAGTAAAGTTGACCGTTTCATTTCTCTTTTTTATTTATTGGCAGGAAAATCATGGCTGAATGGGGTTGACTTTTTTGTCTGCCACATTAGCATTGAAGGGGGTCAAAGTCAGCTCTCATTGTTCTGATACTGAGATAAGCAAAGTGTTGAAATTTTACTGGTCTCTTGAACGTGAAAAAGAAAAATCGTAGATAAAGATTAGAAATTTTCTCACCTGTCTCCGAGTCTTTGTTTATTTTAATATTTTTTTCCCACTATTTTCATGATTCACGAAAAGTAAGCTTGATGCTATAAATTGTTGGTGGGTTGTTCACCGAACTGTTAACTATAGCCACAAGCTCCAACCCATGTTCCATTTATGATCCTCATAAATTTTATGAACAAAAAATTCAATAACGAATGGGAAAAAAAATATAAAAGCAAAATTTCAAAAACAGCCAAATCATAACCAGCCAGTTTTCCGTATTTTTCTGCATTTTATTTCCTTCTTTATACAGTAGTTTCTCAACTAATCTCATTTATTTCCCTTCATTCAATGCTTGGAATAAAGTCCCCACCTCTTTCTCACTGCAGAAATTAGTTGGAAAGAGAGAGAAAGCTTCATAANTGTTTTCATTTTTAATACTTTAGCTGGTTTATATTCTTTTTTTACAGAGTGGTTTTTACCTTTTTTTGACTCTTTTGTTCCTCCTTAAAATCTTTCAACTGCCTCTGGAATGCATTAATGGTGGCATCATCTGCTATTGTTTATAGTGAGACAAGTTGAGATGGTGTAATTCAAGGCCACAGACTGGCCTTAGTTATTACCCCTTCTTTTCAATTATTTTTTTCTCTCATCCATTATAAATTCCCCTTTCTCCTCATTACAATTTTCTTCACACACACTCACTCACTCCCTCACACAGACTCTTTCTCTCTCAGTTTCCTCCCCCCTCCCCACACATCCTTCTGACTGTCTGTACAAAAATACCATCAGTCTCTTACATTCTTGGACTCAATAAAGTTTTCATTTTTCTTTTAACCACATTTCAGGTTTCATCTTTAGATAAAACAGAAAAAAGAAATAAAAAAAGAAAGAAAGAATCTTTTTTCCTTACAATGGATATATCCCTGGCATTGTTTTTCTTCTCAGCTGTCACCTGCTACCTCCTATGGTTCACCTTCATCTCCAAATCCCTCAAAGGCCCGCGCGTTTGGCCCGTTCTCGGCAGCCTCCCGGGCCTCATCGAGAACGCTGACCGAATGCACGAATGGATCTCCGACAACCTCCGAGCCTGCGGCGGGACCTACCAAACCTGCATCTGTGCCGTCCCATTCCTTGCCCGTAAGCAAGGCCTCGTGACCGTCACCTGTGACCCAAAAAACCTCGAGCATATCCTCAAAACCCGGTTCGACAACTACCCTAAAGGCCCCACCTGGCAGGCCGTCTTCCACGATCTCCTCGGCCAGGGCATCTTCAACTCCGACGGCGACACCTGGCTCTTCCAGCGAAAAACGGCCGCCCTCGAGTTCACGACCCGAACCCTCCGCCAAGCCATGGCCCGATGGGTCAACCGCTCCATCCACGACCGTCTCTGCCCAATCCTCGACTCGGCCCGTCTCCAGGCCCGGCCCGTCGACCTCCAAGACCTCCTCCTCCGACTCACGTTCGACAATATATGCGGTCTGGCCTTTGGTCGGGACCCACAAACCCTAGCTCCGGGCCTGCCGGAGAATACTTTTGCCTCGGCCTTCGACCGAGCCACCGAGGCTTCTCTACAGAGATTCATCCTTCCCGAAATCATATGGAAGCTGAAGAAATGGCTCCGGCTTGGAATGGAGGTTTCTTTGAGCCGCAGCCTTGTCCAGGTCGATGACTACTTGTCTGACGTCATCAACGCTCGGAAACTCGAGCTGGCGAACAACGGCTCGAATTCGAATACGAACACGCACGACGATTTATTGTCGAGGTTCATGAAGAAGAAGGAATCGAATTACTCGGATAAATTCTTGCAGCACGTGGCGCTTAACTTTATTCTCGCAGGTCGGGACACCTCGTCGGTTGCTCTCAGCTGGTTCTTCTGGCTCGTGATCCAAAACCCGCGAGTCGAGAATGAAATCCTTAAAGAGATTTGCTCGGTACTCGTCGAGACGCGCGGGGACCCTGCCCACCACGATGATGTGTTATTGTGGGCCCGCGAGCCGCTCGGGTTCGAGGAGGTCGACCGTCTCGTCTACTTGAAAGCCTCGCTTTCCGAGACGCTTAGGTTGTACCCATCGGTACCGGAGGACTCGAAGCATGTTGTGGCCGACGATGTTTTGCCGGATGGGACTTTTGTGCCGGCGGGTTCGGCGATAACGTACTCGATTTACTCGGCGGGTCGGATGAGGTCGGCGTGGGGGGAGGATTGCATGGAGTTTAGGCCAGAGAGGTGGCTTTCGCCGGACGGGAAGAGGTTTGTGGGCCACGACTCGTATAGGTTTGTGGCGTTTAATGCGGGCCCGCGGGTTTGTCTCGGGAGGGATTTGGCGTACCTGCAGATGAAGTCGGTGGCGGCGGCGGTTTTGCTCCGGCACCGGCTGGCGGTGGCGGAGGGGCATAGGGTGGAGCAGAAGATGTCGCTGACGCTGTTTATGAAGGAGGGGTTGTGGGTGGAGGTCTATGAGAGGGATTTGAAGGGGGTGGTGGAGAGTGTTAAGATGAGTCACAAGTGTAATGAGTAATGACGGGTGGGCCTGGGTTTGGTTGGTTTGGTCATTGGTGGGTGGTGGTTTTTATGAGATAGATTTTGGAGGGTGAATTTTTGTGGGGGCAAAAGGGGCTTGTGATTTTGGGGTAGTGAAGGTTTGAAATGTGCATGCTTTGATGAGGTGAGGGCTCTTTGGCAGCTCAGAGCTCACTAAGGCATTCATGTTTGAAGGTACAACCTTCAATGCGGTGGGTATCGAGGGAAGGTGGTGAATTGAATGATGGTTGAGGTTGATTT